AAAAAAAAAGCGTTGGAGCAGGAGTAACGTACGTATGTCAACTGGCAACAGAAAAGGAAAGAGGCAGGGGGAGTATGCGTCTACCTATATCAAGTGATACTTTTTTTTTTTTTCCCCTTTTGAGTCAGAAAAATCGCTCGTAGGGTGTTGGACAGGTTCTTTTCCCCCTTTTTTATCGGCAGTTCACAGCAGTACTGCCCCCGGCTTCCACAGCATGTATGCCTGTTCCTACGGACGGGTTATACCCACCCATATGCACAGCCCATTGAGGAGTAACAAAAGTGTTGGCATTGTCCCACATGGCGAAGGACACATCTTGGGCGTTTCCTTCGTCACCCCAATTCTGCTATTATTCTCATGGTAAGGCAGATATATTTCCCCCCTCAGATGGAAGCACACGAAATGAACACTGCTTCTTCTCAAGTGAGTTTATCTTTGGTAATCGTACTTTTTGGGTTACTCCGTTTGGGGGTATTTAATGTGAAACATTTTTCTTTCCCCCAACTTTGGTACGTCCCTACTTTCCCATTTTGGCCATATGCTGGCTATGCATTTCGGTGCAGACGCTTGGGGGGCACAATTTGAACCCTCCCTTTTGGGTACAAAAAAAAAAAAAAAAAGTTCAGCCAACACAACAGGGAAAACAGCTGCCCTAAGACGAATTCGTTTTTGCAGCTCAAATGGGAGAGGTGGCAGGGAGGTTTTTTTTTGGGGGGGAGGTGGCGACACATATAGAAAAGGGCCATCCATGATGTACCCTTTTAGGAACAAATCACATGAGAAGGGGTAAGCCAATTGTACGCCCCTCGAAATGGACGAGGTTTTGCCCTTTGAAGGGGGTGGGAGTGGTTGAATAGGATTATCTACTCACTACGACAACAGGGACCAGAGTTCCTCCTGCGCGAGGCATCTCCTCCGCTGCTATTCTCACTGTGATGCCCCGCCCCCCCCTTTGGGGACTCACTTTTAAGAGGAAAGACAGGTTATCCTACGTGCTTTCTATTCGAACAGAATAAGGAACTTTTGGAATTTACAAAATAGCAGCATAAAGAGGGGGTGACGTGAAAAAGAAAAAAAAAGCTTTTTACTCCGTCGCCCCAAAGTAATTACCAAAATTGTCCGCATTCGTCTGCACATTGTTGTGTATAATATAGTCCTTTTTTTGTGGCCATACCTTAGAAGGAAGCGATTGGCAACTGGGTTTTTATTAAATATGCATGGGGATGAATTGAATAGGCAGAGAACTGCGTAGTTTGCTAATGACTTCGAAAGTGTGTAAGGCCAGCGTGAAGACACACTTTCGTGCATCCTTACATTGTCCGACCCATGAGCACAAGTGTTTTTCCTCTGAATCACGACGGTTTAGATTGTGTTGTGTCACTCCCAATTTTCCAAAAAAAAAAAAAAAAGTAGAAATAGCCATCAACAAATAGTGAAAGTAATTCTTTTCCTCACCAAATAAATTTCGGTGAAGTGCCAAAGGGGGAAACATCAAATTCTACATGTTGTTCAATTGCTTTGTTCAAAGTAGAATTAATCTTTTGTGTGAGGGGGAAGATACTGCTTGGTGGGGATACGTTCTACTTGTGGATTAAAACGGGCAGCACTGGAATTAGGTAAGAGCTGCTGTCCGCCATGCAAGAAAGAGGAATTATATGGAAAAGGCACTGCACGGATTAGGGTGAAGATTGTGGCACCTTTTCGGGGGTTGATGGACTAAACAGGGACAGAAATGTGCCCCCCTACAACTGACGCTGCAGAGAGGTGTACACTGTCTGTGCGTGAGGATCCAATGTTAACTTGTTTTACACTGCTCTTTTTATTTTATCTTTTTTTTTTTTTTCATTTTACTCGTTTCATTTTTCATTGTTGTTTTTATTTTATCTGATTTTTTTTGATTTTTTTTTTGTACCCCCAAAAAGGAAGCCAACAGAATAGACCTAAGGTACTTTGTCCCATGTCTTAGACCAAAGGGAAGATTAGCGAGGCTCACAAAAAAAAAAAAAAAAAAAAAAAAAAAAAACATAGACATAAACACAAACACTTTTGCATAGGCATGTACCTACGCGTAGACACACACAGAAACCGAAGCTGAAACATCTTTTCTGCCGGGTCAATCACCAAAATAAAACGCCCCCCCTTCCAGCCTCCTCCTTGAGGAAGATGTTTAATGCGTGCAAGGGAAAGAGCAACTGCTGTCGGGAGGAAAGCGAGGAAACGAAAAAGCTCGTGCACGAAGGAGGAAGGCATGACCTGTTCGATCAGCACCTGGTGAAGGAGAATGGGGACTTTAAGAAGATCATCGAGGGGGAGCCCGACCAGACCAAAGCCGTCGAAATTAGCCAGCGCACGGAGAGGGAATACGTAGGGTTCTAGAGGCTCTGCGCCTTTGTGCTCCTCCATGTGGAGTCTTGTGTCCTCCACGTGCCGTCTCGCGGTCCATTTTATGTCCCATTTCATGCGCCTTTTTATGCCCGTTTTTGTGCGCCCCTTAGGTTGCCGTAACTGCCTACCAGCCAGTTGACATCGTGACGAGGACAGTCGAGGTGCCCTTCGTGCGCACCATAGAAACGACAGTGCCGAAAATAACGTACGAGAACAAGATTAGGGAGGTCCCCAAGTATTACTCCAAAATTGTGGAAAAGGTGGGTTCTTTCCCCCGGTTGTTGTGTTCCTGGTGTGGCAGCGTGGGTTGCCCGTCCACCATGCTACGCAGTATCTTCGACGCGTCTCCCCGTTAGCGGTTCTCCCTGTTAGCGGTTCTCCCTGTTAGCGGTTCTCCTGATTATTGCTTCTCCCCATTACTGCTTCTCCCCGTTACCGCTCTTCTACGCAGATCGTGGAAGTCCCGGAGGTCAAATTCGTCGACAAAATCGTGGACGTGCCGCGCATCCAGTACTGCTTCAAATATGTCCCGAAGGTGGAGGTGAAGGAAAACATAATTCAGAGGCCAGTAATCCAAAAGAAGATCGTAGAGAAAATTGTAGAAGTTCCGAAGGTGAAGGAGATGCAGAGGTTCCAAGAGGTCGAAACGGTGGAATACGTCATCAAGTGAGGAGATGCGGAGAGGGGGATAGGCGGACAGGATAACACAGGGCATGACAGTATTCTGCCCTTGTCTTTCTACTGCCTTTTTTCCGCTGCCCTTCTTTTTCCCCTTTTTATTACTCCTTGAAGTGGTGCACCAATTGGAAGGCCCACTTGCATGCTGCGTCTGCCGTGCTCAGCCCTCCCACCTGCCAATTTTTCCTACTCCGGCTTCTACTCCGCTTAGGTACGTACCAAAGGGATTCACCGAGGGAAGAAAAAAATCAGACGATGAAGATGAGGACGGGGAAGAAAAGAAGGAAGAAGACCCAGATGAAGAAAGGGACAGAGGCCAAGGAGAAGAAGCCAACGAGGAGCAGGAAGATGATGGCAATTCCAGATTTTACGGACTGAAAAATTATTCTGAAGGAGCCAAGCTGGTTAGGAATGCACAGATGGGGATGAACCAGTCCCAATTATGGGAACAGACAATGTCCATGGGAAAGGATAAGATGTTTCCATACGTTTTTAGTAGACCTATGCAAGGACAGGCGGAAGGACAGGTGACGGCACATGCAGGGATAGGGACTCCCTGGGGAAGTGCCCTAGTTGGGGGAGAACTACATGGAGAAGCATACGAAGGAGGAGCAGTCCACCCCACGTTTGACTTGCGAAAGGAGCTATCTCTGATGCAGCTGAAGGAAAGGAATGGTTCCATGTTACCAACGCCACGGATAGAACAGGTGTTTAAGCCCAAAATTGTAAAAAACATAGAAGTGCAGAAACATGTACCAATTTCAGTGGACGTGCCAGTTCCCTATATGGTCCCGAAGCCTGTCGTTGTTAATGTAGAAGTGCCTGTCTTGAAATTCAGAGATACATTTGTGCCTGTACCGGTGAGGAGAAAAATCATCCCCAAAATTAAGTGGATCTCGGATGTGTATCAGGTTGACTGCATCAAGGAGAAGCCCTATTTGAAGATCCAGGACGTGATAAAACCAATTCCTTGTGATGTGCAGATTAAGTACAGGAAGTATATGGAGAAGGCTTGTGCTGTGAACCCTAATGAGTTGCCACAGGATGATGTGCACTGCATGTGGATGCGCGTCAATGCGCACCTCGCCGAGCAGAAGAAGCGGGAGTATGGTGACCTGTACCCGTACTATCGAGGTGGGCGTGATTCGAAGCGAGTAGTTATGAGCAGTGAGTCGCAGTTTGTGGTGCTTCCACTCCCGGTGTACCATTTGGGAGAAGCAGCATAGGCAACAACACAACCGCCACCACCTTTTATATTTTCCCCCATTTTCACTCTCACTCCACACGCAGCCGAAGGAGAAGGAGAAAACGACAGTAGAAGCTCCGGAAGAGACGAGCAGGACGGAAGTGAGGGCACGGAATGTTCAGAAGAAGGAACGATGCACGAAGGAGAAATCAGAGAAGGCGTTTTGGACGAGGAAGGGGAAGTCTCGGGTACGGCGAGCAAGCAGGAGGAAGGTGGGGAAGACAAGGAAGAACGCGCCGAGGGGCAAGAGACCATCGGAAGTGGAAAAGACGGGGTAAATGAACGAAGCGGGGCGATGGAACAAACCGAATCGGCTATGTCAAATGGGGAAATCATACAAATTGGAGAAGTCGCACAACAGGGATCAATCATAGGAGTCCTAAGGAGAGAGTACGGCGAAATTGATCAAACCAAAGCGGAGGAATGGAGACAAGTCGAAGGAATAGAAAAGGTAAGCGCAGAGCAGAATATCTTTTACGCCTATGAAGGGTCGGAGCAAATGCAAAAGGAGGGAAGAGGTTTCAATGTGTGTTGTAAAAATTCAAATGATCGTGTCAGCGGCACGCCGGCAAATGAGGACAGATACAATTTAGAATGCGTCGATGAATTCATGAAGGAGATGAAGAAACAAGATCATTTGGAGGAAGAAGGAGCCGTGGCTTCTCTGTACCCATCACACCCTCTAGCCATGACGTACTTGCAGAACAAATGGATTCAGACAGACACCCTGAGGACACATGAACTGTACCATGACGACTTTGTCAGGGCAAGCATTAATGCCAATTTTAATCTAAATAATAGGAATCCAGTGATATCAGAGGTTATGAGAAATCAGGATTTTTTAAAAACTGCCAACCCTATCATTTCTCCTTTTTTTCCGAGGAATATACAGAACATAGAAAATTCCTACAACAGGGTTATAGTACAGAACATCCAGGAGGAGAATATGCGATGCCAAGGGGGTACTAATAAGTATGAGCAGAAGGTGCATGGCCTCGCGGGGGACACCGATGTGAGGATGTATGACGAAGGGGCCGCCGGGTGCACTGGACAGGCGTGCGGTTCGGGGGGAAAAAGCTGCAGCTACTTTTGTAAACAGTGAGGGCGGGGGGCGTGGTAGCAGAGAAAGCATCTTTGGCAGGGAGTGAAGCATTGGCAGGAGAGGTCGGCGCCGCGATGGCCGTATCCGTGGCGCCATGTTGGTGTGGCACCTCGGACTAGCAGTTTGAAGCCTGTTCAGTACCCTTAGGCAGCCAACCGGGAGGACATCCTTGAGACTATCTTTGTTTCCACCCAAGGGGTGTACCCCCTTTTGCGGTAAGGCCAATTTGGTACTAACCGTTCAGGAGGTAAGAAGGAAGGGGCTTCTCTTACCTCCCCTAAGCCTTTGTATTTATTTCTCTTTTGGCTCCTTTTTTTTTTTTTCTTTCTTTGCGCACTCTACATTGTGAGAGGTGTCCAAGTTGAGGAGGAGTTCCCCAGAGGGGCGTTTCACTAGTTGAGGAGGTCGATCCAGTTGCATGTCCTAGTATGCATTCACCCCTGGATGCATGTATGAACGTTGGGGAATAGTTACAATAGTGTAGACTTACCCATGTGATGAATGGGGCATTGTGGGGGTTGATCACTTACGCCTTCCTCCACATGACAATGTGTGTTTGTTTCTTTCATCATCGCCACGCTACGTTATGCGCGATTATTTCGTTTTTTATTTTATGTTTTCATTTTTTTACTTTCTTTACGTTCTTCTCCTAGTGGAGCGCCTGCACATATATTTTTAAATCCTGATGAGGAAAGCCTCTCCAGAGAGCGCCCAATGACCAGGTGCGTAACTTTGCTGTACCTGCGAGGAATTACATCACCTCGTATTAGCACACCGTGGTAGAGACCCTTTCTTTTACATTCTCTTCATGGCATATTGCAACAATTTTGCGGCGTATTCTCTGCCGTTTTTTTTCTTCCCCAATTTCACATCCCCATAACAAAAACTTTGAGCAGTTGTATTTTGCTACAGTGGTTAATAAGATCAGATAAAAAATTTACCATTTTGTTTTTTTTTTTTTTTCAAGTGTGTGGGGGAACGACAGTGAAGCCATTTGTAGGGTTCACCCCTGAGGGTTAAAATGGGGTAGACAACAAAAGGAGGGAGTCCTTTCGATGGATGATTGAGGAGTCTCTTTCTTGTCAAAGTTTGCATGTTCTAGTAGGAGGTACACTGTGTAGAATTCAAGAGGGAATCATTTTTTTTCTCTCTCTCATTGTGTGCGTGTTGAAGTGCATGTAGGGATTTTTTTTTTGATACAATGTCCAGTTGTACGTACACCCGATGATGGTAACTTTTAATGGGCTTCTTTTTTTGAATTGTCTCTTTGGGGTAGAGGGAGAGGTGTACCCATGAGAGGGATGGAATACTCTAATCTGCATCGCACAAGACTGTTTGTATAAATGCCAACACCTGGGTAGACGTGCCAGTAGGTTACACGACGAAGCGTTTCGTTTTTATATCTGTCCAGCGAGTTCTTTCTCTCCCCACTGACAAGTGTGCACCTTCTTCAGAAGAAGGAAATAGAATTGTCCAGTTTGATAACTATACAATTTTAAAATGTCTTCCCTCAAGTCTTCTCTCTTCCTACTTCTCCTCTTCTTTTGTGTTGAATGGGTTCACGCGAAGATTGAGTTGATACTATCCGGTATGCATAAACAAGGGGGAGAAAAAAAAAAAAAAATGAAAAATGGCGAGTTCACTCTGAGAAAGAAAACGATACTTGTTTTGTTGTCGTGTCGTTGCGCTAGAAGAATGGATTTTTGAGGGGCGATTGTGAGTGTAGCCAGGTTGTATTCCCTCGTCCCCGTGAGTGGCACCGTTCTTATTGCCCCCTTTTTTTTTCTTTTTTCTCTTTTTTAACCATTTTAGATCTGGGCACGGACAAATGCAACTCCGAAAACGTGAAATCTCTGGATGATAAGTTTTACGGGGCAGATTGTGGGGGCGAAAATCTGCTCCCCTCCGTCGAGTGGTTTCAAAGGAACAGCGAAACGAAGTCCTACGCGGTGACCGTTACTAGTATGATTAACTCCAGGGTAGTGACGCACTTCTTAGCATGGAACATCCCCTCAAATGTTAACTTAATAAATCACTCCATGAGCTTCGACGAACTGGAGGCAGCCGTCGGGTTCAATTCGTTTGGCGAGGCGAAGTACACGGGGCCTTGTGCCTCGGCCATCGAAGAAGAGAGCAAGTGTTTGGTGTTTACTCTGTACGCGCTAAGTAAGTTCACACAGTTTGCATCTTTCTGAAGCGAGGCATATAGCGTGGTTTGGGAGGCATATATAGCGCGGTTTGCGAGGTATCTGTTTTGGCTCTCTCCGCATCGTTGGGTGTATGCTCCATATGTCCACATCACACCTCATCGCCACCGCAGAAAGGGACCACATACAGCTGTCACAAGACGCAGACTACTTCGAGCTGATGGCCTACCTCAAAAGTATGAGCCGAGAGGAGAAGGGACTCCTGGACAGGCTATCCTTGTACGCCATGACCATCCCGAAGCAGAGGATTTCAAGTTGAATGGTAACAGGTCGTTCGTCGCCTCCATTTGATTAAGCCTCTTTTGAGTGGCGGTCACATTTTCGCATGAGTACACACCATCGCTATACCCTTTGCCACTTTGGATGCGTGAAAAGAGCTGCACGTTGTTTTTTTTTCCTACATGGGGTGCCATAAAAGGGCAAAGATAACCCTTCTGCGAGAATTTAAAAAAAAAGAAAATTCCCAGTGGGATTTCCTCTCTGTGCATGTAGGTGTCTTCTCCTCTTTTTGCAACTTTTTTCTCAGTGGCGAACGATGTTTTTCCTGTTTGGAAAACAGACAGATAAGTAAAAGCCATACACAAAAAAAAAAAAAAAACAAAAGAAATGTTTTTGAGTCCCTGCAATGCGGTTAATTTAAACGGAGTTATACGTCCTCGCTCCTGCTTCTGCTTCTTCGGGGGGTTAATTTCCTCCATGGCGGTTGCATCAGGTGAATTATGCTCCACCAGATAGCCATCAACCTGAGAATTTCTCAGCACAGGAGCTAAACGTGCTCTCCATAAAGTCGCATATATTTTTAAAAAAGACATCGACTGTCTTGGTTAACTCCTCCACCTCTCGAACAACTTTGACATCCAAATTGGTGGTCAGGAAATGAGCCAAATCTACACTCTCCGTTTTTTTTTGTAAAATGTCTAAGTTTTTTTCTAGCTGTCCTTGGTGGTACTCGAAGAGATATTTTTTATTCTCGTCATCCCAAGTGGCAAAGTAGGCGAAGGCGTAGGACCACTTGAGGATCTTTCTGCACCTAATCGTTTGTATGATGGAGTTTTGAAAATGATATATACGATGCGTTGGCTCGATATTGTTCGAGGCGCAAAAGTGGGATAGGAAAAGGAGTTGCGTTTTGATGGAAAACTCTTCTCCATGCTGGTGGGCGTCGAATCTGGTTTTGAAGTGGCTGAATTTGTGAAGCGCCTCGTGCGCGCTTTTGCGGTTCTGCGGTGTGAGGGGGGGGTCCTCGTCAGGGGTGTTGCTCGGCACGTCGTTTGGCGTATCACATTTTGAGCCATCTTGTGCCTCATCTTGTGCCTCATCTTGTGTTTCATCTTGTGCCGCCTCTGGTGCTCCATTTAATGCTCCTTTGAATGCTCCCCGTTGCCCCCCTTTCAGCGCTCCCCTATGCGTGACGTACTGATTACACTGGTAGAAGCCCCCCTTGTGGTGGGCCCAGGCCTGAAGGCAAAGCCAGCAGAAGCTGAACCCGCAGATGCACTTCACGTTCATGCACCCGGACGTTTTCTCAATCGACTTGGCACAGTTGGGGCACTGCTTCGTATGGGAACGAATCCACTTAATGTTATGTTCACCCTTCGTGAGGAGATCCTTCCACTGTTTAATGACTGCGCACGAGACAGGCCTGTGAAATTCCTCCGTGCATTTGAAGCAAAAGTTGTATCCACATCGGCAAATGACTCCGTTATCGGGTAGCATGACAGATTCGATAACATAGGGGCATTGATCACACGGGCATTTTTTTAAACTGGGATTATTCTTTAAGAATATCTTTACCAAGAGCTTTTCGTATTGTGCAAGGAGGTCATCATTCGCGTCGGAAATGTTTTTCCAGTCTTCTCTCATGATGAGTGATTGGCATTCCGGTTCCATGCACTTTTTCTTAATTACATTTTCATCAAAGTCGTTGTGGATGGCTGTTTGTAGGTAGCCTTTCCAGCACTCCTTCGAGTATCGATGTCCGCATCTCAGCGCGTGTGTGTCTTGTAGGTCATACTGGTTAAGTAGGATTGGGCATGTATATTTGGTGCCTTTCTCCATCTGAGTCATTTGTTCAGAAGGGGACTCTTGGATTGATTTACCCATGTTAGTGGTGGGTGCTATTACCGGAGGTGCGGCCTCACCAATTGCATAATCTGTAGAGAGGTCTTCCTCCTTGAGGGCAGACATGTGTGCCTTCGCGAGCACTTCCTTTGGGTTCCTAAACCATGCTTCGATAAAATCATTCGAGTTAAAATTGTACGAGTTTAGAAAAAGGTAGGCATATTCATAGTGAAGATTCGTGAGGCTGACAACGTCCGTGACAGCTTCTTTCATTTTTTCTTCGACCTGTTCTAAGGTGTATACCTCATAAATATTAGTGTCCCTATATTTTGCCATGCTTCTTTGGAAATACTGTCGGTATATTTTCATGCCTTCCTCATGGGATTCATCCGTTGCATTCTTTTCGTTCGACTCGCAATTGGCACGTTCATTGCCAATTCCTGCGACGTTCTTCAAGGCGTTCTTTACGACCTTCTTCACGACCATTCTTTTATCCCCGCCCAGTTGTATGGTGACGTCTATGGCTCGGCTGGCGGGGCCGTCCCCCTTCGGAATGTTCATTTTTGGAGTGTAAGGAAAAGCATGCTGTGAATGGAGAGTAGCCAAGTGGGGAGCTCTTTTTTCTCCCCTTTTTAGGAGACGAACGAGGGGTGCTTATTTTGTTTCACCGTGTCATGTGTACAGGTGGCAGCCTCTTTATAATTCTGTTCCTGTACATTTTGGCTAGCCATTGGAGTAGCGGCCAGTTGTGTACCCTACTTCGTAGGCGGCCCCCCCTGGGAAGCGCCCTCCAGAGAGCAGCCCTGTGGTCTTTTAAGAATGACTTCCACTGCACGTGTGTTACGCACACAGGTTATCAGCAGCAGTGCTCGTGTAAACCAGTAAGGAAATCCATCCGATGGGTGTGAAATGATGGTTCTCCTTTGACGTGTCGCTGCTGTATAGTTCTTTTAGCAAACATAGCGGTAAAATTGCTCACTCTGCGGCGTTTCGTCGTCATGGCGTCTGAGCCCCTTGAAGCGGAACCATCCAGGAGGACCTCGGCCTTTGCAAAAAAGTAGTCGTCGTAGTAGTGGCAGTAGTAGGTGGGGATCAAAATAGGCAAGAAGGGAAACAAAAGAGTAGTGAACCGAGAAGGGAAGGTCCTCTGGTCACGTGCCAGACGCGGGGTAATTACGCACCGCTGCTGCGTCAAATTTGGCGCCGCAAAGGGGGGTGCCCATTGGAAATTTTTTTTTTTGGCCTGAGTGTTCCACTTATGCATAGTCTGCATTTTGGAATGTTCCCATAGAGAGAGCAATGGGAGGGCAAAATGGTGGGAAAATAATGACCCCCCACGAGGGAAGGGAAAAGGCGAACCCCCATAATTTTTCCGAAACGACGCTTGAATTTCCTAGCCTTTTTTTTTCTTTTTTTTTAATTAAAACTGAAGGCAAATTGTACATAGTAGGGATGTAAGTGTTTTCCCATTTTTACGATGAAAAGAAAGAAGGAAAAAAAAACACAACAAAAAACATCTTTAAGTGAGCCCTATTTTTTGGATCTCCTTTTTCTGCTCTTTCAAAACAACCCAGAGGGTCAGCCTTCTCGCTTACGCAACACAGGCGTATACACATGACTACACTGTACTTGTGCGAAGCTACAGTCGTCCAGAGGCTCAAGTGACGAACTGGGGGCCTCCGGGCAGTACATAGGTCATCTGTAAAATAGGGACGAGCAAGTCCGACCAAACGATTTTCCACCTACAGAAGTGGCTCAACAGGTTGCCACGAAAGAGGTGCCTCTGACGAGTAGAATTCCCCTCATTAATCACGTCGCTTTGTAACTCTGCGTCCGCGACACTTACCACTGCACACCGCACCGCTTCCCCGTCTTAGCGCTTCCCCGTTTCACCGCTATCCTCTCAATGATCATGCACAGGGCGAAGAGCCTCCTCAGCCGAGTGAAGCTCGTGAGTAGGCACCCCCTGAGCAGACCCCTCCTGACTCGCTACATCAGCACGAGTAGCGTGAAACTTAAAATAGTAAAATGTAAACTGTTTGACATCGGAGAGGGAATTTCTGAGGTGGAAATAACTCAGTGGAACAAAAAAGAAGGAGACAGTGTGAGCGAAATGGAGACTCTCCTGACTGTCCAGAGTGACAAAGCAGCGGTGGATATAACGAGCAAGTACAGTGGAGTGCTCGTGAAGAGGTATGCTGAACAAAATGACATAATTAAAATTGGGTCTTACTTTTGCGAAATTGACACGGAGGATGACAATGTCGAGGAGGAAGCGGCGGAGGAGGGGGAGGCTGAGCAAGGAAATGGTGAAAAGGTGGCAGACCATGACGCGGGGGGGGGAGTAGATCCAGATGGGCCACACTCATCACCCGAAGTGAAGCAACAAGGGATTAAAGTCTCGACTGTGAAAGCATCCCCCGGGATTAAGAAAAAGGCCCAAGAGTACAAACTGGACGTCGGCGCAATTGGAAGTTACTTTGCTAAGGAGACCATAACGATGGAAGATGTGGAGCTGTATCATCAGAAGGTGAAAAATGGAGAAATCTCAACTGCTGGAACTAACCTGAATGGAGAGGTCATGGAGGAAGTATCACTGAAGGGAATCAAACTAGCCATGTGTAAAAGCATGAACGATTCGTTGAGTATCCCCCTGTTTCACTTAAACGAGAAATACAACGTGCAAAATTTGATAACTGCCCGAAATGAAATAAAGAAGAGCGTCCTAGAGAAGGATAACGTCAAAGTGACATTAACCAGTATACTGATCAAGCTGATTTCGATTGTGTTGCGAGATTTCCCATTGCTAAACTCCAAATTTGATTCACAAAAAAATGCTTACACTATTTATAAGAGCCATAATGTGTCTGTCGCCATGGACACCCCAAATGGTTTACTCGTGCCAAATATAAAAAAGGTGGAATCAAAAAATATGGTTGAAATTCAGAAGGAGCTGACTTCCCTACGTGATAGAGCCATGGAGATGAAGCTGAGCAAAAGTGACATCACGGGGGGTACAATCACGATTAGCAATTTTGGAGTCATAGGGGGAACGTTTGCCACTCCGATTGTGTTTGATAACCAGGCGTGCATAATCGGATTGTCCAAAATTGAGAAGCAGCTGTTTTTAAAAAATGAGAAGAAAGAATTAACCGACTTATCGGACATCCTTGTTGCGGACACGATGAACTTGACTTATGGCGCGGACCACAGGTTCGTCGACGGGGCTACGCTGGCTCAGTTTTCGAAGAAGCTGAAGGAGGTCGTGGAGGGCGTCACTTCGCTGGACCCGTACGCGGTGTAGGGGAGGAACGATGTGTACAGAGGTCAGCGCAGCGGTGTGCGGAGCGGTTTATCCGATGCAGCTTTACGGGCTGCGCCCACCGTTGAGGATGATCCCTTTTTTGGAACTCGTTTCCCCCGGGGATGCTTACACATCTGCTGTGCACGTTACTATGCAGTGCTACTTCCTTATGACCGACGGAGCGTCCGCATTTCCCGTCTGATATCGCACGAATTGCATGGCGTGGTCTCACCCTGTGGTGACAACCTCCCTTGCACTCGTTTTCTCCCCCATGGGGGGTCTCCATTCGGTGGCGCTCCAACCGTGTCCACCATTTCCGCAACTTTTTGCGAGGGCGAGCGTCCAAAATTTTAAACACAAATGTTTCAAAATAGAAAAGAGAAAAAAATGTGCACAAAAGGGGAAAAAGAAAGGGGCTAACTCTACAGTCGCGCAAAAGGTGTGGCGTAGTAGGGGATAGGCCCTCTCTTCATCTCGCCCCCCTCCCCTAGGAGCAAAATAAGTCGAAGAAACGATTCCCAATTTTGAATTGACGCGGATGAACGGTATAATTTTTTACTAATGATTTGAAGTTAGTCACATAGGCGTCCGTCTTGATGAGCTGCACGGCATCTTTGACGAGCACATTGTTATTCGGGGCTATGATCATAAAAGACGGCAGATTTTTAATATTGAATTTTTTGCAAATGTAGAGATAATTATCAAAAGGTAGGCTGTAAAAATCGGTACTTTTTAGGAAAGCTACATAGTCATTATATGTCTTGTCAAAAGGGATGTAAATAATTTCGATAAAGGGGAAATTTTTTTTAAAAAAATTTATTTTCTGTATAAAAGTTACACAATACCTGCACCAGGATGCTCCAAAAAATAGGCCGAGATATTTATTTTCAAAGTAGGAGGCGTCGATTTTTTTCATTTCATTGTTTTGGAATTGATATAAATGAGTGATGCAATTTTTGGCTACATTTTGTTGGCTCCTATCTGGCTCTGCATTTTGCGTAACGGGACGATCCACTTCGCAATTCATTTTTCAGTGATGTGTAGGTGTATATCGGTGTGTTGGTGGAGGGGGCGTAGAACATACAGTACAGCCACGCGTGGGGCACTCTCACTTTTGCTATCCTCAAGTTTGCACTCCCCGGGAAAAAGGCGGGGGAACAATTTTCACTTCGCCTGGGTTACACTGTATTGAGGCGCAACGACCCCGTTCACGCTTCTCTCGTTTTTGTTTGGTTCTCCTGTTTGTATAACTCCTTGGGCGTTACACCAGCGAGGTACTGAGCTCCTCTCCTTGGTCAGGGGGGCACGCAGGTAATTGACTCCGTTAAGCGGTACACTACGGGCAGTTTTTTTACTTCTTTTGCTTTGTACGTGCCATTCGGGGTTTGCAAAGGGGGGTAAGGGCTCTGCTTTGATGTTCCCTTTTAAAATGAAAGTTGGCAAATGATTGCGAAGTGTTTTCGACGCGTTTGTTAAGGCACCCATGGGGGTGAACGATGGGGCATACTTCAACAAAAATGTGGCCAACGTCAACGTGAATACGAAGTGAGTTACGAAAAAAAAAAAAAAAAAAAAAAAGTCGCCCCCTATATATATATGAACATATGTATCTTTCGTTTTGCCAAATTGATGCACAACGGTGGCGCCTCAATGAGGAAAAAAAGAGCAAAATTAAAAAAGAAGAAAAAAGGTTTACAAACTGGTTCCTTTAAGGGGTGTGCGACTCCCCAGGTTATGTTCCCTCGTTCGAAAGAGACACATGTATGTGTGCGCGTATGCATGAAGATCTTTTTCTTTTTTTTTACCTACATGAGGGGATCAGGTCAGATGAGCGCGCCGGGAAAGCAGATCTGAGGAGTCGCTCCACGTTCTCCAAGACGGCAGCAGCGACGGGGAGAGAGCTCTACTGCGGGATGAATTTGCTCTTATACGCGCTTTGGTCGACGGAGTTCACGTCGATGCCGCTGACGTTGATGCTGGCCGGCTTAATGATGGCCGCGTTGATGCGTGGCGCATCCATGCTGAGTAGGTTCTCATTGTTATGCGCGCCGTACTTCTTTAGCTTGCTGTAGGTGGCACCGCTGTTGGAGGGGTTGCCCATTTGCCTGTCATAGCCGTCCCCGTCTTTCTCGTACGGGTTAACTCCGTATGGGGCATTCTGACTGCTGAGGTGATACGGGGCGAATCTGTTTTCGCTTAGCATGTGTTCCTTGTTTAGGTGTGTTTGAGGGTAATTGTTCCTGCGGTGCGCCACTGGGCTGTGCATGTCTGCATAGTGTACGCTGTGCTCGTTTGCGCTTCGGTTGTAGTCCGCCTGGTCGCCTCCGTGAGTTGTGCCTCTTGATGGGTGGCCATATCGTTGGCGGGAATGCACCTGGGGAGGATTGGCCTCATAATTGGTTGAGTACCCCGCGGCGTAGGTAGCCTGTTCGTGCGAGAGGGAGGCGTGGTCTGGGGGGTGCTCATACGGGACGGCGGAATGATCTGCATGATGGCCTGCAAGATGGTCTCCTGTGTGACCATACTGCTGGTTGTAAGCCAATCGGTTGGGGCTAGACAGAGGGCTTCCACCATTCGTGGGAATCCCGCTTGCCGGCCCGCCGACTCGCCCATCGAGATTTCTCCCCCGCTGGGCAAGGTTACCCCGTTGGAACGAACTGGCGTGTGTAGCAACACCTTCATGTTCTTCTCCTCCTCCGGTGCGATACTCACCAGAAGCGGAGTTCACTGCAGCTTCCGCTTCTACTTCCTCGTTGGGTTCACCAGCCACGTGCGCGTTGCTAATCTTGTACTTATTCGTGTAATAAAAATTGTAGTCCAGCTTGATTAAAAAGTTGTGCGCATAGTCATCGATGTTGTTGCTAACATAATCAGTGAGATGGAGGAAAAAATTTCTAAAGTGCTTGTCGTAGTGCTTAATGGTGTTATGGATCATGGAGATGTATGCCTGGTCGCTGAGAAGTTCTTGGATAAACTTCCGGTGATAATTGTTTTTTTTCTTTTTCTTCTTCTCGGTTTCGCCTGCGTGTCCGTTGTTGCTGTCATGGTGACCATGAGTACCCTGGTTGCCTAGACCGTCGTGACCTCCGTTAGGGTTCCCCCCGCTGCGGTCGCCCTTGGCATTTTCGCGAGACGACACACGTTCGAGCTGCTCATTTTTGTTAAAGTTGAATTTCAAAATGTGTCTGGTGAAAATGTGAGATATGGATATCAACTTCAAAATGGAGTTAATGATATTTTGGTTCATTATGAAGGAGTACCTGAGGATGTTATTAAGGTAGGCATTATGGATGTGTATAATGTCGTCAAAAATGAGAGTTTCCTTTAGTTTGATATTCATGTGAGTATACTCCGACTTGATCACATCATTCTGTAGGTGATACGTGTAGCACTTTAGGAAGTGGGTCATACACTCCCTCGTGTGTATGCACATCATCAGATTATTTCTGCATTCCTCATTTATGAATATGTTCTTTACGAACATGTGGTTGAGCCACACCTCTGTCAGCTTGTGCTCAATATATTTGCAGTAATTTAAAAAACGAAATATGAGAGTGTACTTAAAAATGGTTACGTTATTGAATATCAAATTGTATGGAAACATGTTGTGGTAGGAGAGGACTAGCCCTTTGTAAATTTCTACGTTTGTGTTGGTCTGCATATTATTGTGTATGTTAGTGAGCACATTATTTTTGAGGTTGGCTAGTATTTTTTTTTTTTTTCCCAGCAGGTGCTGCTGTTCCAGGTTTCGTCCGTTTTGGGTGTTCTTTCCCAAGGTACCATAATTTTTTTTTTTCCTTTTTTGCATCTTTTTTTTGGTTTTCTTTTTTGTCTTCCTATTTTTTTGTTCCTTCATTGTGAGGGATGCCCCCCCTTGATGTTGGTCCGCCTCCGAGGGGCTCTCCGTTTCGCTGTCCAAGTCTGTGTCATCCTCTGATTGAGCGGGGGCCCCTCTAGGGGAATTCCCATCTTGAAGGTGACCCTTCTGGTAGTAGGGTCCACTTTGATCTTCCCTCTGCTGCCACGTAAGTAGCGCCGTTCCATCGTTGGCTTGGTCATTGTCTAGGGCATCTTCCTGATCCCCTCTTCCAACGTGGACCTGGCTGATATTCAGGTAGAAATTCCTCAAGTCGATAATGAGGTTCACATTATCGATGATACTTAGAATGTCGGACACGTCTACGTTGTAGTCATGCCGATACTTAAGATGGTACAGTACAGACGACCTCAAAGATATGTCGAAAAAGTTTCTCAGCTTGTTCAGCACGTTGCTGTTCTTTTTGCTATTGTACAGCTTTTCCAGATGTTCATGAGCTAGGATGTAGAAATATTTTAAATAGTCACTAATTTGGAGGAAGAAAAAAAAATAATGATGCTTTATTTTTTCCTTGATGTCTATTTTTTTTATATAAAGTTCGAACATTTTTTTGGAAGCAAATAGGTGTTGATTGTGTATGAGGTGCTCGTACGTCTTTTTGTTTCCATCGTATATTAGGAGGCATGTTTTGTTGTTATGAAGCCGGTTGGTGTTGCTGTTGTACAGTTCGTCTTGTTCATCCTGTTCTTCTTCTCCTTCTTCTTGTTCCTCCCACGGGTTTTTTGCCTCCCTTTGGTAGATTTCACCTTGGGGGGAGGAGCTACTCTCCCTCCCGTGGTTCGTCCTTTTAGATGCTGCGTACACGGATAGGTTGTCTACTTCTGATGCGCCCCACCCACGAGTGGCACTATCATTGTGGGAGTCCGCCCCGTCCATACATAGGCGATGTCTACGCCTGCTTTGAAGAGTCAACAATTTGGAGCACGCGGAAAGGACGTCAATGTACTTTCCCGTGATGAAAATGTGATAAGATACATTCCTCAGGAAAGTAGGAACCTTACTATTGAGGATGACATACTTAGCTCCCCAATAGTTAGTAGACATGTCTATATATCTTTTGTAAATGTACTTAAATATATTGGTACAGTAAAATTTGTTGGTCTGTTTATAATAAGGGGTGATGTTCCTATTTTCGTGGATGAAGAATTCTCTATGTGTGTCTTTGACCTTTCCGTAGAAGATGTAATTTTTTATAAAGTCAAACAAAGGAGTGGTAATATTTTTTAGCAAATACATAAGCACCGTTTTGTTGATGCTATCTGAGTGTAGGTACTCCTGTAGTTTGTAAATGAGATCGATTAGGTATTTCGAATTGTTCATCTGTTTCTTGGTAATAATTTTGTTAATGATTTTGTTCAGCAGTTTGGCTATCTGGAGGAGTGGCAAGACAATGATTTTTATTTTGTATAGAGAAATGTCCTCTGCCTTATCAATGTTGATGTTGAAGAAGAGGTTAAAGTCGTGTACATTTTTGCGAAACAAATTGTTGATGCTGAAGAAAATTTTCTTCTCCTCTGGATCTGTGCATGTCGATAATGCATTTGCGTCAAACAGACACATGGGTAGGTCGTTAAATCTTGTTTGTGTTTCTGTCCCAGGGATTTGTTCCCACGTCTTGTTTCCCCCTGGGGGGTAGTAGGCCCCACCCCCCGCAGTGCCATCCTTCATATAAATTTTAGAAAAATTATAAATGTTCCTAACATTTTCTTCAATTTTGCTGACGTGGTTTAGGATGTGCATGCTGATGTTGTACAGGCAGCAACAGAACATGTCGAATGTAGAGTTGCAGGATTGTCCTCTCTTGTTAATTTCGATGAATCGCTGGATGCGCCTTAGGCAAATTCCTAGCTTTAATATTTCCCTCGTGATTTCCAAGTGGCTGCTGTTGCTTTCTCGATCGCTCAGCAGGAGCGGGTGAAACACTAGCTTATACTTCGGCATCAGGTACACCAGGTCGTTGTTCATCTCATCGAAGAGTTGCTTCTCTTCAGAGGTCAGGTTGGCTTTGGCTATGACCTGCTCTGACGAGGCGGTGGAGGCGTCAGTCGAGGCGGACGCGGAGGATTCCTCATCGTTAGCAGCATCTCCACCGCCGTCACCCTCATCATCGTCACCTCCATCGTCGTCACCCCCATCGTCGTCACCCTCATCGCTATCATCCTGTTCGCTGTCCGACGACAGGGAGTACACCGAGCTGGAGTCGCCTTTCGCGTCCCGCCCCAATTCGGGGTGCCTCCTGCCCCTCTGCAGTACGTCGCACACGTAGGAGTAGTACGTCTGATGGTCGTACTTGTAGTGTTCCTTAATGTAAATCAGGTTCCCATGGCTGTTATTGAGGACATATAAAATGTCGATGATTATGAGGCACTCCTTAATGTACAGACTGTAACTGAGGTAGTTTTCCGCAATCTTCTTCGTTATATAGTTATTAAAATAGAGGTAGTCTTCGTGGCTGGTTCCTTGTTGGATGTTGTGCGAGTCGGGTGCTCTTATCTGCTCATTTTGACTACTGGATTTTATTAAAAAAATTTGACTCTCCCTGGTTAGATTATAGTTATAGATGAGCATGTAGGAGCTGTTGTCATTAATTTTGTTGTAACTTGTGAGGCATACATTGTGGAAGGCGAAGGTGATGTTGATATCTGTGGCGGTTCCGAAGAGGTGGCTAAGGCTCATTTTTTTTATGAGCACAAGGTTGTAGTATTTGGATTCGGAGTTCTCCATGGAGTTTCTAAAGGAGGGTTCCTTTTTGTCCGGATTAGTTTCCCCCTCCGTGTGGGAACTAACCGTTTGGGCACTACCTCTGTGGGTACTACCCTTGTGAGCAGTAGCCATGGAGGGTTGTCCCGCTGGGACCTTTTGGACGCCCAAGATTTCTTTGGTCTTATTATTAATAAGTAGGAAGTAATCATTTATGTACACCTTGGTGTAACAGTTCAGCACTCTGCTAGGCATGTTGACGACGTCGTAAAGAACGTCGTTTATGTCGACTAAGTCGTTTTTGGCCAAGCGGCTCAGGTACTCATTGACCAGTATGCTCTTCTTAATGATAATCCACGAGTTATACGTGTCCAAGTTGAGGAACATGGTTTTTTTAAACTTCATTTTTCTAAATATGACATCCTTACAGTTGACGTACCTTTCGTTTTGGATGTATAAGTTCTTTTCTTTCTCTATGTGATCATTGGAGACACTCAAAAAGTGGAGATTCGAATTGATGTGTGTAAAGATGTGTTCGTAGTTATTGTCCGAATCGTCATCATCTGAGTAGATGAAATTTTTTTTATTTTTTAATTTGCCTGTCTTACTTGATAACGCTCCTTGTGCTGTTAATGCGTCTATCCCCGCTTGGGCCGCTTTTTCCCTTTTTTTTTTTTTTTTACTATCATAGGTTTCGCCGAAATTCATGTTGCTTGTTTCGAATATAGTGCTGTTGTACATCGGGTTGGTGTCGAACGGCTGGTTCGGAATGGAACCGATTAGACTGCCATAGTTGTCCCCTTTCCCATCATGTAAGGCGTCTTTTTTTTTCTTCTTCTTTTTCCTTATTTTTTCCCTCTTCTTTTTCCTCTTCTGCACATTAACATGTTCATACTTTTTATTGTTATATATGATGTATATAATGTCATTGTGGCATATGCTGGAGTTTCCAGAATTGATGTTTTCGCTGTTTATAATTAGGAAGACGCTTCTATTCTGTTCATACCGGTAGGGATATGTAAACTCCAGGGATGTTTCTTTGGTCGAATTGTTTGCCTTTTTTTCCTCCCTAATTCTGATGTTTTCATTTCCATATATTTTATCATATTTGGAAGTTTCCCTGTTGGAGCTTTTCTTGATGTTCAGGTAGCACTTGGAGTAGCTGTTGAACAGGCATAAGCAATTTCGGAATTTGGCCTTCGCGATGTGGATGCGGTTGTTGTTTTCGCTCTCGACTTTTCGCCGTATGTCGTGTAGCTCCATGTTTAGGTGTGCAAGCGGGAGGGAGTGTATCAGCTTGGGGCGTCTCGTCCTACCCTTCAAACCGGGCGCGCGTTAGCAGGAGCCCTCCTTTGGCACTAATACGTTGGCGCGTTTTGGATACTTTGCCCAAAACTTTCACGTGTGATCGATTTCTCGATCTGAGGCGTGGAATATTCGGGAACCGGTCCGCGCGAGGGGAATGAAGCAAACAAACAGGGGAAAGGCGGGAAATAAAAGGGGGGGCATAAGAAGGGGACACAAAAAGGCACACAGAAAGGGGCATAAAAGGGGGACATAGAAATGCACATAAAAAGGCGCATAGGAACGGTAATAAAAGGGCACATAAAAAGGGCGAATAAAAAGGCCAAAAAAACGCGCTAACGCTGCAGTGAAAGATTTCCCGGCAACTTTCAGCCTTTTGCAGGAACGACCGCATGAGGGGGAAAACCTCCGCTAAGAGCTCGCGGAAATACGAGGGAAAATTCGCGAGGGGCACTTGGCCTCTTTACTCTAATTTTTTTTTTTTCCAACTTTGCGAAAAGGGGCAGTATTCCCGCACACAAAGGGTGCAAGAAAAAAAAAAAGAAAAAAAAAAAAGAAAAATTCCAGAAGCTGCACAAAATTGTATACACATGGAAATATCCACACAAGGGTACACACAAACGTGCTAACATTCTGTTCTTCTTTTGTGTGACCACACATTTCGTAGCTACGCAAGGGGAGTGTTGCGAGAGAGAAAGTTTGAAGAAGTCACCTCGTGCGGCAGCAGAGAGGAGGTTTGTGTTTTCAGTGCATTTGTTATTCCCTCAGTCAGTCTTTTTACCCCTTATAAGGGTGTTCCCTAATTGGGTGTCTCTCACCTTTTTCTGAGAAAAACAAAGTTTTTGCAACGGCGATGGTGGGATGTTACTGTGGGGTTGCCACAGCACAAGCGGGAGGAAGAAGAGAGAAAAAAAAAAAAGGGGAAAAAAAGGGGAAAAAAAGCGGACTCAACTTTTTACGCTTCTTCTCACGACTCCTCATATAGGGCCAGGGAAAAATACGGGCTTCACAAAATGGAATTATAATTAAAATTAAAAACAAAAACAGTTATTTAGCGAAGGAATACTAAAAAAAAGAGAGCGGAATTCTGGGAAAAAACTCTGAAGGCGGCATTCCTGCCAAAGCGGCGTGCGTAATCTACGCAGAAAAAGAAAAGAGCAAAAAAATTACTACTTTGGGGGGGTTGCCATTCGTCTATTTCCCCCCTTTTTCTGATGCCACATGAGGTCGTAAAAAGGATAAAACAGTGTGTTGAACAGATACGCGCTTAAAAAAAAATTGTAAAAAAAGAGACATCAGAAAACAGCGGGAACAATAATGGGGGAGCATGAAATATGCCGCGTGCACTATCTTGTCCTATATTCTGCCCGAAATAAGGGTGTAGTAAATATCATCACTCTGCAAAAGGGAGGAAATGCGCGGGTGAAATTCACATAAAGCGCTGCACGTGCGATGTGGGCAAAGGAATAAGTATTTATACATGTATTTATGTGTGGGAAAACAGGGAAAAAAAACGCGGTTACTGTTTTTTTGCCGTGTCCTAGGTAAGGCTCGTCGTAATTTAGCGACCAAAAGGAGTACACGTTTCTGCGCAGGTGTGGGGGACACATAAGGAAGATAATAAAAGTGCACATAAAAAGGAGCATGCCAAAACGAAGTACCCTTGACGCATCACATGGTGGCATCTCAAAATAGGACAATAAAAAAAAGAAAACATGGGTGTATTTTTTCTTTCCCCTTTTGCTATGTCTAACTTGAGCATTTTCTTGAGGCTTAAATTTTGGAAGTCCCAGCAGCTCAACTCGGTGTTGTAGTTTTCCGTTATGTGGCTCGGCCTGCAGAGTTGGCCAAAAAAGGGGGAACAATGAGCAGTGGCCAAATGGAATGGAGAGAGAAAAAAAAGGCATAACAGTAGAGGTAGACTCATTCCCACAACCACACGTTGGGTGTTCCTGTGTGCATATGTAGACGTCCAAATTTTTTTCTCCCCACTTTTTAAAGTGCTCGTAAAAAGTGATGTTCGTTAAAATGGTCCTCGTGTTGCGCGCAAACAAATATGTTATGAAGGCGAACAGGGTGATGTTGATGAAGTTGCACAGAATTACAAGCAGGGCGAAGGCCTGTGGAGGGGGAAATGGGGGGGGCGAAACGTGGGGGCATCGCGGTGGCATCGAGGTTGTAAAGAAAGGGGGCGAATGGCCTTAATGCGGGCTAAGCGGGCTGCGCCACACGATACTCCCTTACGTAGTCCACCGTCTTGTGAAACAAACTGAAGTACAAGAAAACATAGTAGTAGTTATACAGCAGGAGGACGAACATGGAAAATATGAAGAGGTAGAAGGCGCGTTGGTTTTTTATTCCTGCGGAAAGGGGTGGATGGGGCAAGTTGTTTTTGGGTGCCAATTTTTGGAGAAGTAATTTTCTGGCCTAAGTCCCCCGGGGGAGCCCCATTTGGCTGGTCGAGCCGGGAGGGGCGCCGTACCGATGCAGTTGTCAACCCATACACAGTGGTGGTCTTGATGTCTGCCAAGGGGGAAAGGCGGTTAGGAGGAGAAGTGGTGAGAGGAAGAAGTGGATACCGTGGAGAAGTGCTAACGCGGTGACGCGGCACATGGCAGCGGATACAGAGAACCCGAAGCGGAAATGAGCAGACATTGCTTCCTAAGCCGTGCTGTCTGTTCCAAGCTTACACGATGCAATGGAAGCACTCCGCGCAGTGGTGCACCCTCGGAGGTTTGACGATGTTGCATGTGACGCAAACGTTCTGTGAATGGGGTGAAGAAAGGGGCGTGGGCAAGTGAGACAATTTTCCCGTTTGCAGTGACAAAGGAGGGAGTGCCGACGATGTTCGCCATGGCTACACCGCCAGGGGTATCAGCGCACTCACCCGTGGATTCCTATTGTACAGTATGGCATTCCGGTAGTCCACATCGAGGGAGTTAACTCGTTCCTGGGAAACCTTCCCATAGAGGGACAGCTTCTGGCACTCCAAGTTGACGATGAGTTGATCGTACTTAGCGTGTTCGGGGTCGATTTGATTATCCATTTTAGCAGGATCCATGAGTGACGAAGATATCATTTTGTTGATTTTGAATAGCTCCATCTCGATGCTGTTTAGCTGATACTCGGCCTTCTTTTTGAAGGAACCATCATAGGTGTAGGAAAAGGGGGTATTCCTTTTCCTGTGTCTTCTAGTAAGAGTTTCATTTTGTTTGTAAAACCCAGGGCTCTTAAAATATAGAACGCACCAAAGTAACTGTTGAAACAGCCAAATAGCTAGCCAAGTGATAGACAAAGCATGATATCTCTTAAGAACCCAAAAGGATCTGGAAATGTTCAAATAGACAATTAAATTTAACATGGCGAAGAACCAGAAGTAAAACGCGTATATCGTTTTGCATATTTTTATTCCTTTGCAAAGTTTATCTTGTATAATCCATTTTTTTAACAAAATGAAGACCAAAAAGTATCTGTTCTTTAGGCAAATTTGGAACACATTGGTATTATCATTTTGTATGGATGTGTGATAAACCAAATTTAGGGAGCCATAATCACAGAGCAGTCTCAGGATGTCTATATCACAGTGTTTGACGGCGATATGTAGGATCGTGTTGCCATAAAAGTCTCGATGGTTTATATTAACACTTTTACTGAGTAGCCACTGCAATGTACTTATGTTGTTTCTTTTCACATTTAGGAAGAGGGCAGTTTGTCCATATTCATTTTGTTCCTCCAGACTGGCCCCATTGAGATAGAGTAATTCTAAGATGTGTAAGGTTTCCAAAATTTTATCTTCATTAAACTCGCTAATGGCTGTTAGGAAAGGACTCATTTTTCTCCTGTTCTTGTGAAATAGTATGGATGGGCCGAAGTGCTTGATTAGGAGTAGGACAATTTCGTAGTGACTATTTTTTATTGCGTAGTAAATGGCTGTGTCGTTGTTAACTAGGTCTTCCTTGTCTATGTCCACATTGAGACTGATTAATTTTTTTATTAGCTCCGTGAAGCCACAGTAGCACGCCCAGTGCAGGACGTTAATTGCGTTGAGCATTTCGATATCATTATTTAGAATGTAGGGTTGAATGATTATTTGAAGCCTTATGAAGTCCTGGTGCCTGGCACACTTTATTATTTCATACTGCTTTTGCAGGATTTCCCTGTTTATGAATTCGTTGTCCGGATTCATTTTATGCTAACAGTGTGAGAAGAAGCTGCCCACGTGAGTGCTAGCTCCGCCTACGCGAAGAAGTTCTGTAGGAAAAGTCGGAAACGCGTCAGCTCACCGCGGGGCACACTTGTTCGCACCGAACGCCGGGAGAAGTAAACGCGCACACGTGTGGGGGTTGTGTACCCATAAATGGAAACATGTAGGATGCATTTATCCCCTTTTAATGGAAAACCAGACAGGGTATACTTTCCTGGAACTCTTCAAAATGGGTATGTGTCCACCCTGCCATAATTTAGCATGTGCCGAAACGTTGTGAAACCACACTGGCATTTTTTTCAAGGTGAGATTTTTGCACTTGATGTGTTAAATAAGTGGCGCATACTCAAGGGCAGGGTTTTGTAATTTTTTCCATTCGCCTTCGCCGTTTGATTTTTTTTTTTTTTTTTTATTCTCCACTGGAGTAGGCTTTGTTTTCCCCCCCCATTGACTCGAGGCCATTTTTTTTTTTTTTTTTTTATCGCATTGTATCTTACTCCCTTTTTTGGCCTCTCTTGCGAAAAAGTCTTAGGGGCTGGGGAGGGCGTGTGTGCTGAATGTGCACTGAGGCGTGCACAAAGGTACGCCATAAAGGAAGCGGAATAAGTCGAACGTACATTTCATTGCGCCTGTCCTGAGGCACTTGGCAAAGCGTTTTTTTCTCGTCGGCAAATATATTTGAATGACTCCCTTCCAGCGGCGGTTATATTCTTTATGGGGCGCTTTACCCTTCGCGCAGAACAAAATTGGATATCAAGGGGAATTAAAGAAAAAGAAAAAAAATGAAGGGAAGGTAAAGGAACGGGAAGTCATAATAAAACATGGAGGAGATGAGTATACATATGAAGGTCCATACGCGTCCATATGTCCAGACAAAATTATGCTGATCCTGCCGCTAAAGAAATTTTACGCCTTCGATTCGAGAAAAATGACGTTGACCGATTGATTTGGGGAACCGCACATGTTTGTACCTTCCAAAAAATATTTTCCCCTTTGTTTTAAATTTCCAAGGGTGCCTATTTTTTGCCCAATTAAGCATTTTTTTTTTTTTTTCGTATGGCGCTCTGTTAACGGTTTCCCCTCTAGTACATTCTTTCCCTGTCCTTTTACCCACAGTTCCAAGGTATGGTGGAGCAAACGGAAAGGCGCACCCTCTATGGGGCTGATAATATTATTTGAAATAATAATGAGCCACTGAGAGGTAGCGATAAGCCTTTTAATATTACAAGACAGTTTCCTTTACAGGTAAGTAGGCACGTATTGTTAACCTCCATTTGGATTTTTCTACCACTTTTGGGGTGGGTTTCCATTTGTGGAAGTGTGTCACTCGACAACGAGCGGGGGACCAAAACGGTGGTGCAACGACATGTGATTTGGGCGATAAAGGGAATGGTCAATTGTGGGGATGGAAATGGAGTGACACAATTTTAGGTGCCTCTTTGGGGGTTGGTCTAAAACGTGGGAGAGTCCTTTTTCTCACATTGTGGTTGCTTGCTTCGCAAAATGCAGAAATTTTAACCGTATACACTTTCGTAAATGGAACTAAAGGGGTTTGGGGGGAAGCGGCCAGCGAGAGACCGAGTTAAATCGGGGATAATACAACATGTCTGTAATTATTTTCAAACATTACTAGTAAAGCAGCTGATGAGTATTCGCCTTGTGGACGTATACCTTTGGGCGTTGCTTTGGAAGAGGCTCTGGGGGAAGAAGCGGGAGGCACCTTATAGAAGCTAAACATTTGTTGTGCGATTTTTACCTAAAGTGGGGGGTTTATGGCCCCTCCTCGCGGATGAGTTCATATCATGGAAGTGCGCTACCTGGTGGGCCCACTCATGTGCGCTCCCCTCGATAGTGAGTACAACGTTTTAACATATCTCCACCCACATGTTTCATTTGTGACCGTTTCCATCTCGGCCTTGCTCCTTCCTATTTGACCATTTCATAGCTACGCGGCTCCACAGGGGCACCTTTCAGTCTTGCTCCTTTGAGGGAAACCTCCCGTAGCCCATATTTCCGCTCTCGTAGCAATGACTTTGAGAGCATTACAAAGGAGGAACTTTTTATACTTCCCCCACATACATGCCATTCGTTTCGACTTGTACGTATGCAGAGGGGGCACCACAAGGGTAGTTGTGTCATTCTCCTTCATTTCAGAACGATTTAAAAATAATTTGCCTCTTTGTAGTGGTAGTTAAGACAATAGACTCTTTCATTTTTGTAATAACGGCACCACGAAACGGGAAAAGAAAAAACAAAAAAAAACGCGTAATAAAAATGAAACCAAAAAAAAAAAAAGAAAAAATTATATGCCCATTTGAGCGGATATAAAATTGGAAAAAATAGTAAATGAAAAACTCTAACTTGACAGTTGCATGTAGAGAAAAAAACGTAATTATGGCCAAAAAAAAAAGAAAAAAAAAAGAAATATTTGCTAAGTTGGGAAAAACTATTTTTATGGTTGTTTTCCCCTTTTTTTTTTGCCTCCAAAAAAATTTGAGGCAGTTTTCCCCGGGAGATAATTAATTAAGCGCTTCACGATTGAGGAGCAGCGTTTCGCAAAAATTATGCCATGATAAATAAGCACTGCTTACATTGGCGCATAATTATACATACGTGTGAGCAACGTGAGAGACGAGAAGGGAGGCGCTTCACCCATTGGTCATTTGCTGTAGATTTGAGAAAATCCATTCTATATTATTTGGAAGAGTAAAGGGAACGTGCTGCGCGGTCCTCCTCCCCCCTTGTCATTAGCATAGAATAGCATAACGTAACAAAGAACGAGCCACCTCTTTTTCTTTTCCCTGGAACGCGACAAGTAATACAAATGAACAGTGCATGTAGGAATGGAACCCTGCGAATGGGGAGTTACTGCATGCCCGTTGCTCAAGCCAGTTTTTTCCGCGTTGCGCAACCCAGTTTTGCCCCCGTTGCGTTGCCATTTTGGGTCTCATCTCATTTCACGCTGTGATGTAGCTATGGTGCAGGTTCGGTGTATCTGCAGTGTATTAGTTTGGGCGTCCCCATTTTGCTGCTCCATTTTGTTTCCTCCCCTTGCAGTGGACGCTTTCAACGAAAACTACCTGAACGATGAGGACGACTTCATGGGAGACGAGTTCGGACAAGGAGTGGACAGCGACGATGGAGACAACTACGAGAATGACATAGACATTATAACCGAAAATCAAATTAAGAAGGAAAAGTCGGATTACGAACATTCGGATGCGAATGACGATAATATCAGGATAACAAGCCCCTATTTAACCAAGTATGAAAAGGCCAGAATTATAGGCACTAGAGCTTTACAGATAAGTTTAAATGCCCCCCTGACGATACCGATTGAGACACAAGGGGGAGAGGTATCGAATGGGAAAAATGAATATGATAATTACCTTAATAATGACCCCCTGGTGATTGCGGAAAAGGAGTTACATAACAAGTCGATTCCGTTCATTCTGAGGAGGTACTTACCTAATGGTAGTTATGAGGATTGGAAGTTGGACGAGCTGATAATTGACTAGCCATGTTGGTTTAGGTGAG